ATTCAGATCAGATGCATAGATGAGAAGACAACAACTAGAACATGCTCAGTAGTCTCCTTCAGAGACTTATGAGCAAATAAAATAGCAGGCTCAAGGCGAATAGAATGTAGAAACTGATTTGAAACACAGGGAACACGTTTAAGTAAAGCTTGTCGCTCAAATAAGTTTAGAAGAGAAGAGGCGGTATAAGCCTAGGAAAACAGTAGATGAAACATACTTAGGGTTCAAACAAAGTCCAGTAAAGATAAGCAAGGAGCAAAAGCTCAGTAAAAATACAGTAAAGGAACATACGAGATAGACATGTAAAGCATGCTATAGAAACCAGTAGAAGAAAGAAAAGAGCACAAAACAGAAGAACATACATAACACGACAAATATAGAACACAAGAGAAAAAGAACATGCGAGTTGGAAGAGAGAACATAAGAACTTGGCATAGCCAGATTCACACAAAGAAAAGAAAAAGAAGAGACATAAGTCATTTTTTAAAACTTTTTCAGAAACCCTAAAGGAAAATTTGGGGAAAAGCTTAAAACGTCGAATAGCACAGATTTACCACAGATCTAAGCAAATAAAAGAAGAAGGAACCTCGAATAGCTTTAGGGTTTCAGAGAAACCCTAGAAATGAGAAGACTTGGAAGAATGTCCGGTCTTGAGTCTGATGAGTCAAAAATAGGCTCCTAACGTTTGGAAACGCCGGAGCAAGGCCGGAGAGGCCATAGAACCTTGGATCTGTAGAGGATCTGAACGGACACCATTGAGGTCAGACCTCGAAATCTCGAACACCCATGGTTTAGTGGTGAAAGAAGGTGAGTGCAGGTCATCCATGGCCTGGGAAGCCATGGATTCCGGTGAGGTTATGGTCGAAGACGGGTGAGAGAGGCTAGGGTTTCATGACCCTTCGAGAGAGTGTTTGAGAGAGGAGAGTATCCAAAGGCGGCAGATTGAAAAAAATGAGAGAGGGTTAGGGGGTCGTTGGAATTAATTAAGGTAAGGGGGAATCTGGGCCGTTGATCAAAATGATCAACGGCTCAGATTAAAAGGAACACAGGCCGGTTCGGTTAATTGGGCATTGGGTCGGGTTAATTGGGTAATTGGGTTGGGATGATTGGGCTTGATTTTGGGGTCAAATTGGGGTGCAAAACTGGCTATAATCGAAATAAAAATTGGGCTCACATTAAATAGCCAATTTTTCCTATTTGATTAACAAAAAATAGTAGTAACAATTTTAAAAGCAAATTAAAAGTACTGAGTAAATAATTATTATATAAATATTAATTTAAAAATAATGGGATTAATTTTTATAATTATAAAATGCTATAAAATCTTAAAGAGGCTAGTATTGCAATTATATGCAATTTAGTTTTAAAAATACCAAACGAATTTGTAAAAATATGCAAAAATCATGTTAGCTATATTTTGATGTAAATATGAGAATGAAATAAATTATACTCCAAAATGGCAAGCTTTGGGGAATAATTATGGGATTTAATGGTGTAAAAATAGGCCATAAATTGGTTTAAAAATCATTACAAATGCCACAACCCTTTGGGGTGCTTATATATGCACATATATGTCATTTTGAAAATATATAGGGAAAAATTGGGTATCAATAATTGAGGAAGAATAAGGGTGAATTGATATTATATGGTGGGATCGGGTTGTGCGCCGCAATATTATGTTTATTATTATGATATTGATATTGTACGGTGGGATCGGGTTGCACGCCACAACGGGAGGAATAAGAGTGATATATTGAGGAGGAATAAGGGTAAATTGATATTATATGGTGGGATCGGGTTGCGCGTTGCAACATATCTTGTATTTTGGTATCTTACTGCATTGACTTTAGTTTCTTCGTACAAGATTTTGATAATTTGTATTTCTAGTTTTCACTGAGCTTTGAGGATCGAGTTATTGTCATGGACTTATTGACTTTCCGTTATTTCCTGAGTTCTTTTCCTAATACTATTATTCTGGTGAACTAATTTTCAAAGTAAAATTTACTACGTTGAGTCATTTCCTCCTGCCCTGCTGAGTGGTTAGTAATATAGTGATTTAAAATAAAGGAATTAATATTATGTTACCTTGTATGACTTTTAAATTAGAACTCGTCGTACATATTCAGTATTACAAATTCTAATAATTTTTATATTTTATTTCAATTGGTTTCTCAACTAAATTTCCTTAACCCGTCTGAGGTTGTATTTTACTTAAAAAGAAATTGCTATTAAGTTTCAACTTAATAAATCCTATATTAAAGGCAATAGCTTATTAGATGTTGTGTTTTTCTTTATTATTGTTTAAAAGGAGTATTTTCTTCACTCAAATAATTTCTAAAAATAGCTTCATCTTTTCGCACTGATTTCCTATTGGGTCTAGAAATTGTAAATCTTCTTTATGTACATAAATGGAACTTCTTGAATATTTTAAATTTGCGTTTGTTACGGATATTATGTACCGAGTAGCACGTGAATTCTGTTGTGCAAAGTGATGTGAAAATATGTGGGCACCAGGTGCCATGTGTGTTAAAGGTTTGGAAGTTGTGAATTTGATATGAGGTTACGAGTATCGGGGTGGTTGGAATTTGTGTATTAGAAATGATGTGATTGGTTGAGTTAATATCGCTTTCTCTTATTTGGTCACATTTTACTTGTCTGTATCCCAACTGTGTTGGTGTGTAATTACCTGTATTTTTGTTAACATCCGTGTTTTCCTCTTATCATCTCTATTGTTGTAATTTGATTTCTCCCTGTTATTGGCATTACTTTGTTATCTTTATCCTGTTAGTTTATTATCATATCATGTTCAATTTATTAAACCAGTAGGTGTTTTGATTGTTCCTCGTCACTACTCCACCGAGGTTAGTCTTGATACTTACTGGGCACCGTTGTGGCGTGCTCATACTATACTTCTGTATATTTTTTTGTATAGATCCAAGTGTTTGATCGTTAGTAGATGTGTGGATTGTCGTTGTGGAGACTCAAGTAGACCTGCTGCTGCGTTTGCAGGCCTCAGAGTCACCATTTGTTTTATTTATTTCCATTGTTTCCTTTTGTTCTGGAACATTGATGTATTCAATATGTATAACTACTCCTAGAAAGGCTTATGACTTGTACTACCGATTTTGGGAATTATAAATTGTTCGAGATATCTAATTCGAAGTTAGTGAATATTATCGTTATTTCTGTTAATGTTAGGCTTACCTAGTTTTAGAGACTAGGTGTCATCACGACTCCTTCGGAGGGATTTTGGGTCGTGATAGTTGTAGTATAATTGTATGTAAATTGTATTCTGTTGTAGTTATATATTTATTATTATTTGAATGTTGTATAAAAGTTAAAAAATAGTTGTACAATGTATGAATCGTTGTATAAAGTTTGTATTTAAGTTATCAATACTATCTTTTTTTATATAAAGTTGTTATATGTATTAAAATTGCATTAAGAGAGTAAATTTTGATTGGAATTTTAAAGAGGAAGAAGCACACACCACATACAAAATATATACAGAATATACAAAGGACATATTATATAAAATTTGTATGAAAATTGTATTTAAATTGTAGATGTTGTAGTTGTATTTAACTGGGTAAGAAAGATGGATGAAAGTTGTTTGATAAGTTATATATTGTATAATTAGTTGTATGATATTTATTTTTATTCTGTATGTTGTTGCACATATATCAAATTTTGTATCAAAAGTTGTTGTAAATGTATGAAGCGTAATTTATTAACTATTTCAAACCTTTTTAAGATGAGAAGATGAAGAAAAAACCGCCATTGTTTTCACTTCTTCTTATGACGACGATGATGATTTGCTTCCTTCGCAAAGTTTCGATCGTGGTAATCTGAGGATGCGTCTCTGTAATAGCGTTAAATTGCGAGATTGATAGGGCGGATATACATGATGAGTTTGGTGTGTACATTGCTGGGCCGAGTAACATCCATGACCAGGAAAGGGAAAGGTGGTTAACACCATTGTTCCCTTCAGTTATGCCTTTTTCCAATATAAATTCAACAGAAATCCCTATTCTTTTTAAAATCCGTCATTATTACTTTGTACTCCCCTTTTGCGTATATGATCATTTTCTTAATTTGCTGACCAGACCAATTCTTTTTTTTTTCCTTTTTTTATGAGGTGGAACTAGTCTAGTATGTAGCTAATATATTGGGGAATCAACAGCATGTCTTATTATTAGCCTCAGATACAAATGTAACATTCGATTTGGAGAGCAGAGGGAGAGAGGAGAGAAAAAAGAAAATAACTAAATTCCTTGAGTGAAAGTACTAATAATGGATTGACAGCCTTTTAAGGTGGATTGTATATATTTTGTAGCTAAAACGTGTTTAGGTCGGGTAAATACAAAATTTGGATATTTTTCGTAATAAGGTTTCAAATTGTGTATAGAAATGAAAAAATCCCTAAAAACAATAGACCTTTTGAAGACCCTTCTCCTCGAAATTTTTTATTTTGTGCAGACCTCCTTTTTGTCTTACAACTTTGTGGTCCCAGATTTTTGTGGACCCAAATGTACAAGATATGGGTCCATAAATATGTGAGATAAAAAAAAATCTCACACAAATAATGTTATCATAAAATCACTTCAGCTTAGAACTCTTGGTTAAGGGTGGAGTTCATCTCAGACTAGTACATATCTCAGACTAGTACATATCTCATACTAGTAAAATTATTTGTTGATTTTATTGTTCATATCTCAGACTAGTACAAGCATCTGGCGGTATTTAGTGAACATGTTCGTAATCAAATGGTGTCATTATCTGCCTGTGTTTGTTTACGAACCATATACTTATCCATGTCTAAATAATTTAGACATACGTCACTAAAAGTTTTAAGTTCAAAATATGTCATTTTAAAATATCCCCATAAATGCAAAATGCAGCACGCATCCTAGCAAAATTAAGTTGGCTTATAGTGGAAAAGTCAGCCTACTTTGGATAAATATCAGCATATAGTGGTGGGACAACGTAATTGGACTAATCCTAGATAATCAATTAGTATTCTAACAAATATCTATCTATAACCCTTTCCCACGGTAAGAAAATCTTTAAGTTGGAAAGAATAAAGATGGTACTAAAAACAATAGAAATTTTGAAGAATGAAATTGCCATAGAGGAGGAATCAGTGATTATCACTGAAGATGTTAAGGCCGGTCTTGTTCTTGTGGACATCATCAATGGCTTTTGCACCGTTGGGGCTGGAAATCTGGTTCATATATTTATTCATTATTTTAGCTCCATGTCTCTTTAATTTGTTTTAGCTATAGCTGCTTGCCCAATTGATTTAATTGAATTTTCTTGTTAATTATTATTATAGGCACCAAGAGAGCCAAACAGGCAGATCTCTGAAATGATTGATGAATCAACAAGGCTGGCTAGATTGTTCTGTGACAAGAAATGGCCTATTCTTGCCTTTCTTGATTCACACCACCCTGACAAACTTGAACACCCTTATCCTCCTCACTGTATCACTGGCACTGATGAATCCAATTTGGTTCCTGGTATTATATCTGCTTACTAGCTAAGGACTATAGCTTAGTTCAAGTTCAGTTTCTATACACAGACAGTTTATGTTGCACGGACTCTCCAAAATGTTGTCGTACCCGTGTCGGATCCTCCGGATATACACCACAATTGATGGATTCGACACGCACCAGAGACATTTTCGGAGAGTCCGAGCAATATAGCCGACAATGTAAAGTACTACTCCTTTGTTTCAAAAAGATTGACACTATTTCTTTATTAGTCTGTTTCAAAAAAAATTGACATCTTTCAATATTATTTCCTTAGTAGGAAGCATTTATAACCACACAAGTAATATAACAGGTTTCAGACCACAAGTTTCAAAAGTTTTATAGCCACACAAATGTTATGGCTTATTTAAGACTACATATCTCAAAAGTCTTCTCTTCTTTATTAAAGTTTGTGCCAAGTCAAACTAAGACAAGCTTTTTGAAACGGAGGGAGTAATATTTACCGTATCAGATATATAAAAGATAACTATAAGGTAACCACCATGAAAAAGTAAGAATTAGTAACTAGGAAAATCACACCATCATCAGTGACTCACTGTATATAAGTTAAAGTGGAATAATATTCTGAGATTTAGAAACTATACAAAAAGTTATAGATACAATGTATGAAGTTGCAGCAATATTCATCTTACGATATTACATTATTTCAAGTAATTTGTACTGATTGTTGGACGATTTACCTACCTCTGCAGCACTAAGATGGTTGGAGAAGGAACAAAACGTAACAATCAGGCGTAAAGACTGCTATGATGGCTATATTGGTTCGTTTCAGGAGGATGGCTCTAATGTATTTGTTGATTGGGTGAAAAACAACAAAATTCAAACTGTATGCTCCCTCTTTGCTTCTATAAAACTTCTTCCTACTGGATAGTCATTAACATATTCATGTTTATATGGTTGAAGAATATTGACTGACTGTTTATTTGAATTAAGTTGTTGGTTGTAGGGGCATGTACAGACATTTGTGTGCTGGATTTCGTTTGCTCTACATTATCAGCTAGGAACCGCGGCTTCCTCGACCCTTTGGAGGAAGTAGTAGTTTACTCTCAGGGATGTGCCACTTTTGATTTTCCTGCCTCCATGGCAAGAAACACCAAAGATATTTCACCACATCCNATATACACATGAAAATAATAAGTTTGGATGTGCTCTATACACTAGATCAACACCCAAATTTTACTGGTACTGGAGTATAATCATGGATGCATGTTAATTGCTGTGCGTGTTGTGTCCATTGCATTGCTTTAATGAAATAGTGAAGGCTTTGATATATTGTATGTAGCTTTAACCGTACTACATTGCCAAAAATTTGTTGATTTCATTGTTCATATCTCAGACTAGTGCTAGCATCTGGTGGTATCTAGTGAACATGTTCGTAACCAAATGGTGTCATTATCTGCCTGTGCGTATTTACGAACCATACTTGTCCATGTCTTTGTGATACACGCTCCAAAACCATACCTCCAGCTGTTGCAAGAACATTCTTTAGACTGCGAAAACAATTCCTACCCAAAATGCATGAAATCTGAGAAGCAGCAGCTCAACAGATAATTTAAGTGCCATGATCATGAAATGAGAACAATAAGACATTTGCCATTCTACTAAATAGAATAAAATTTGAGTAGCCGGAGGTGCTAGCAACAAAACAGTACAACAACGCCCACCCGCGGGGGGAGGGGGGGGGATAATACATAAAGAGCGCAAAAAAGAATAACAACATAAAGAGCATATGTACAAGCTAAGTGCCCAAGAAATCACCGGTAGGCCTGAACATTTGGTATATCAGGGAAATATTGGGGTCATCAACTCAAAAATTGTTGGTTAGTTCCATACAATTTAAATGCTTAATTCTGGCCATGAACGAATTTTTGAATCTTCTCTTCAGCTCAAACTGACAACGCTTCGTGGTAATAGATATCATGTTGACTGCAAAGGAACAGAGAAAGAAGCAATCACCTTATCAGATTAGAGATCAAAGTGAGGTAGGATTAATCATACAGGTCCCTCAAAAAACACCCTTGTAATTCATCAACCCTTTCTCCTTCCGGTAACAAAAGAGCCAATTTGGGAAATAGAAGTGCCAAAGAGCATACCTACAAAGAACTGAACCAGGAATAAACAGCCACAAACTGTATGTACAGAGATGTTCACTCCTGCAGCCTAAGCCGATGGAAGAACACTAAGAAATGATATTCAGGGTCCCAGTAAACAAAACCCACAACAGGCCCTCCTTTAATGTACTGCATAATTCAACAGGAATAAGTAAGTTAAGAAAAATGTTAAAGAGTATAAAGTGACAACAAAATAACTGTAAAAGGGCGCCATTATATAGATAGCTGTAAACCTTTCCATCTAGGATAACCAGTTCACCATCAACCCATCTGGGTTTTCGAAAACCAGGTTCCGCCAGCCTTCCTTGTCCCCTGTATCGAGCAATCTGCATTGGCAATAGAGATAACATAGGCCTAAAATGTGAGAAATAGACCGCCACATCATAAAATCCAGAGCTATGGATACTAAGTTAAGCAACCAAAAAGATAGGGAAAACAAATAATGGCAAGAAATAGTGCACAATCTAAACTCACTAGAACCACCTACCACACCAAATTCTTCTGGAATAATCCCTTTGTGTGGAAGTTGATATTTTTTTCCAATTCTTGCGCGGAATGCTATCTGCAAATTAGAAAGAAAGGCATTAATGGTCACACATCACTCCATCGCACTCTCCCCCTCTCCATTTTCAAAAGCAAGGCAAGAAAAGTTTCTACAAGTACACGTACTAAAATGCACAAATGCAGGATACGAGACACTGTAGATTTTCACTCTCATTGCTCAACGGATTAGCAAAATACCTATTCAACTTGGGCATAGAAATCAGGGCTGCTTTTTTTTTTCTTTCCAGCTTATCATTCTTTCCCTAGTCTCTACCAATCAGATACAGAGATGTCTACACTCCAGCCAGAATGAATGATCTCAGCCATCCTAACTTATTTTTAAAAGAAAAAAGTGCGAGTCTACCTCCAACAAATCTGTAGGATAGATTATATGAACAACTTTTAGAATCAAGTGAAGTTACCTGACCAGCTGGCACATAAGAATCTCCAGTTAATTTTACAGCTTCAACATACTCGTAAAACTCTAAACGTGAAGACTCCTTAGGGCTACCTTCTTCTTTCCACTGACCAAATCTTCGCCTAAGGTGGATGACTTCCGAAGTGTACAGACCATGAGCACCAATATATAATCCTGATAAAAATTGTAAATGATTGACCGACTTAAGAATGAGAGTGAGTAGAAAAACAATGATGCTGCACTAGTTAAACAAGCATATGTTAACTAGAAAACGGAAAATCAGCAATCTAAACAGCAAGAGAACTAAAGGAGAGAAACAGATTGGAGATTGATCACCATTTAGTGGGTCCGTAGATGCTGAAATCTCAATGCGGTTAAAGGTAGTTGACTTCGACAGTGGTTGACGATTTCGTGCCTGAGTAAGAGTGAGGCTGATCAACTCCCCCATATCTTTAAGGACCTGCATGTATCAGGAAAACTATTAAGAGAAGATTATAAACTTAGCAATTTGAATGACAATATAAAAGAGTTCTGACCTTCATAGGTATCTTCCCCTTCCCGATGAACTTTGCAAGATCAAGCATCACATGATCCAAGCTACGTTGACCTTGGAGCCTAGCCTTTTTATCTGGGGGAAATTGTCCACTGCCAGAGGAATTGCGTTTGTTCTCATCTTCCTCTATACTGAAAGTAAATGACAGGTGACCCTTCTTCTCTAGCCTTGCCGGTACTCGAAACAGGTCTTTATGCTGTACACCACTTGAAGTATTTTGCATAAGACCACCAACAACCACCCTAACCGCAATTTGGCTCTGCTCTTCGCCATCACTAACCCCATTGTCTGTATCCAATTCAATCACATTCTGCTCTCCATCTTTTTCCACCTTAATTTCATCTTCATCGTCCATGCTGTCTAAATCAAAGTCCTTTTCTTCATCTTCATCTTCCTCATCCATTATTTGCTCAATGACCTTTGATATTAGATCTCTATCTACCTTCCCTGGAGCTGTCACTTTTAAAACCTTGACCTGTACCCCTGGAATCATGTCTCTCAGTGCATTCTGAAAGCCAAACTCATCATCCCTATCTTCAGCATCTTCCTCAGCATCTGAGATTTTATCAAACATATCACTTTTGTTTTCAGTGGGACTAAGAGTGTCCAAGTTACTGATAGCACCAGGTAGCTTTGAAGAAGGAATAGGTAAATCTTGCTGAACTGGTTTTCTCTTCAAGTAAACAGCCTGGAATCACGTGGATCACGAAGATTTTTAAATAGTATTGGAAGGAAAAGGACTTCTATTATAAAGCGAGGACCAAAACCGTCTTTAATTAGATATATCTTCATATTTTAGCATGCTTAAAAAAGGTGCCTAGACGAGGAGATGAGGAGGAGATTCTGGTTCAAAAAAACAGAACGGATGTACAATTTTATTTTTTTTAATAAGGAAAGGAGGTGTACAATTTTTTCAGTTCTTTTTATCAAGTGCAACATCTTCAATGGGAAAAAAACTCATAGAGCTGCCAGACCATCCATGACCTTTGCAAAGGCAGCCCTACATATAGGGAATGGTTCATAACCTGAACAATCTTGTCTTCCCATGGGCCACACCAACATCATCACGTCTGAGCAATGATATTCTATGGTGACATTCATGTCTGTTACTATTCTTGCATCAAGTTTCATCCACAAATTGCAACATGCTGTTAACAAAAAATGAAACAAGAACCACGCCTCAATATCCTGTTAAAGCGGTTGAGACGAGCTATATGAATCCTTAGTGTCCATTTTGCACAATTTGGGTTTCACCAAGCATTCACTATTCCGAATATTTCATCACAAATTGACTATTCATTTATTTCTATGGAAGATGTCAACAAGTCAAAAGAAAGTATGTGAGCTCGAAAGATACCTGTTGCCTGTATTCGCCTTTATCATCCACGGTAAGAAATATTTCAAAAAGAGGGGCACCTTCAACAGCCGAAGCGAGCTGGCTGTCAGTAGAATACATGAACCCAGTAAACCACATATTCCAAAGGCAAAGTTTCTTGTTCACTTTTACTTAATAAGGTAAAAACAATAACATAGCAATACGCCACCACACTAGCTTTTGTTACTAACTAGGACATAAAGCACATTAGAAAAGGCAACCACACCTTGCAAGACTCAGTTCGGAAAGGCTCAACACTTAGGCTAGAAATTTATCTAACTTCAACATCAAAACAGCACCAACTGGTATATAAACTGCAGAGATAATACTTTTTTTTTTTTAGATGGCACAGAGATTATACATACAATCTGGAAGAAAGGGGAGACGACAGATTCACTAGATCATCTTTCAGTACGTTGTTCAGTGGGGGAGAATATTCGGTGCATGTTAGGATTTCCGGAATACAACGATATGTAATGGAATCAATCCATCCAATTCTTATCTTATGCCAAGGCATAAGGATAAACAGAAGTTTTAATGGAAGGGTCAGAGAACTATCTCACGTCGTGATTTTGGTCAATTTGGGAAGAGAAATGATAGGTGTTGAGGATGAATCAGAAGCTTTTCAAACAGTGAAAATAGTTGCATTAGAGCCTCTCTTTCACTGGTGTAAGAAAGAGTTGATGGAAGGAGATCCTACTTTCATTTTTTATTTGTTTCATTTATTTTATTTTCTTTCTTTTGTACTTCTAGATCATCTTTACCCCGTTTAGTTTATATAGACCTTCTTATTTACTTAACCCCCCACCCCCACCCCCCAAAGTCGGAAAAATGAACTATGAGAAATTTTCACAGGTCTTCCCCATTTTCTATAGATGATATCCTTTGTTAATCTCATGGGAAAAAGAGCAGAGAGATGAAGTGGATACTGGTGCGCAGACCCCTTTCTTCTATAGATGAAGTGGATACTGGTGCGCAGACCCCTTTCTTCTATATTTTCTAAGAAAGAAAACTGTAAAAATTCAATTTATCGAACTCAAACAAAACCCAGCAGAAACCTAGATATACCGCGGACTGTAACTTTTCGCCACATATCTTCCATGCTCAGCACTTATACGAATAATGCGG